ACCGAGTGCTTTGTAAGACTTTAGCTGCGGGACTTCTCAGAGAACGTTTGTCTAAACCATACCTAATACAAAGGCGAGGATTATCAAGAATGGGGTCATCCAGCCAATCGTCCATTTGCAGGTCTTGGATGTGTCGCGAGCGCTTTCGTTGTCGTTATAGCCTGTTTCAGCACTTTTCGATCTTTCCTCTGTGCGCGGATCCAATTCATACACATGAATGTTTTTAACAGGTTTGCCATTTTCGTCAAGAAGAGAAGCACGCGATGAATTGACCGGTCGTGTTGGCGGATCCATGGGTGACATCTTTGAAGCCACCTTTCGGCGGCTCTGGCTAGCACAAGTTTGAAGGCATTAGTAGTAGAGGAAGAGGGAGAATATCAAAGTACAGAACGGTCCATGTGCCAAGGGTCTGTGTGGTCGCCATATCTTCCTAACTCGACTTGGATTGTCATCTTGGTTCCATCGGTGTACTATACCTATTCTAGCAACCCGATAGTGAATTGTAGTTAGCAATGAGGAACCCACTTGGTTTCGACTCGATCAAAATAGCTAGTCGTAAGGTGTTCAGCTCTCGGCGCTTCGTGCTGTTTGATTTCACCGCTCGCTTAAAGCGAAAGAGGAAATCAGGAGATGTTTGGAGGCCTTAAAATAGAGTCAGAGCTGAAGACCCCCAATTCATTCCATTGCATATTGCAAAATATGAGGCTACCGGTACTTGTGCCAGTAGAATAGCCAAGCTGAATTAGCGTCGGAGTTTTGTTCTTCACGTTGCAGCGGACACGGCATGGTGATCAAATTCTAGGCGGGTAATGCTTCCGAACTTCACCCAAGCCTGGAATTGATCCAAGCTGAAAAGCACAAAGCGTCACACAACGATAGGCTCCAGTGCTGTGGAACTCTAGAGTTCTTGTCGTTCGCTAGAGTAGGTCACGAGGCGCGTTGTGCGTCGCTCAGGATGAGCCGCCGCCTTCAGACAACTTGCAGTATTACCAAAGCAGCGAGAGTAGCATCTCGCTAGTCTGTTCAGAACATTAGTCTTGATTAGACGATCGACGAGAGTATAACTCTTGGACTATTCCAGAATTTCACATCACAGGGGAAAATACCGTAAGAGTGTAAGATCATTCTTCTTGTAATGAATTTCCTTAGTGGAAGGGCTGAGTGCGGCTGATTGTACTACTACCGGAAATGCAGCATAGCAAAGCTGAAATGCAAAGAGCATGCTACAATTGGACGCCACCTAGACACGGCCATGCAGCCGACAGCTGCAAGTCCTAAATACGCTGATTTCTTAACTACCTTCGCCCGCGCTTGCAATCGGTGTCCAGCCTTCGAGCGTCTACTAGTTCAATACTTTGTAAGTTAATAGGTACACGCCAGTAATGACGCCTTACCCCGCATTATGTACATGGGAAACGGCTTTACCCCAAACCCAGACCTATCCCCAAATTTTCCGACGTCCTTGCTTTCGGGTGCAATTGACCCGGAGCCTACCTATTATCCCATAGACTGCAACTCGAAAATCGGCCAAGACCCTGATTTGTAGGTGTAAATAAATATACTTTGAACGCGAACAAGATGGACACGCCTTTTGTTTATACCTGATTGTAGCTGGTCACAATGAGACTGGTCACGACTTTGTATTTCTCAGCGGCGTTCTGCGCAAGCGCAGGAGCGATACCGACCTCTCCGAATTTGAAGAAAGATTCTTTTGACTGGACAACTATCAAATCTCTGATAGCTTTTGGCGACAGTTATACGTTCGTCCAGGGTACCCTCGGCCATTCAAACTACTCTTTTATTGGCGATGAATTGAACCTATCCTTTACGCCGACACAACTCTTTTCCGACCGAATCGTGCAGAATCTCACAGGAACAGCGGAAGGCGGCCCTAACTGGGTTGAGTTCCTGACCGATTGCGGTGTGGAAGACGGCCTACACGACCCTCAGGAATGCGACATTCAGCTCTGGGACTTTGCCTACGCGGGCGCGAATACGATCGAGGAGGCTGGCTTCACGCCACTCCATCACAATCATACTGTCTCTTTACAACGCCAGGTCGAGCAGTTCATTTCTTCTGGAAATCCTGCTCTCGAATCTATTCACTTGCGTAAGAAAGACACGCTGGTAGCCGTTTGGATCGGTATCAATGACATCAATGACCTTGTCGCTACACAGGGTAAAAATGCAACGTTCGCGCCAGCCTACGAAAAAGTCCAGATGAATGTGTTTAAGAATGTAGAAAAGATCTATGAACTGGGATACAGAAACTTCTTGTTCATGAACCTCCCACCTCTGGACCGTGGACCAGGTACACCCAACGTCAATGCCTCGCTCGTTGAGTCTTTCAACAGCATTCAGGCCACACATGCCGACCACTTCGCAACGAAACACTGCGATGCAACGGTTTTACAGTTTGATGTCAACAGCGTTCTAAACAATGTATTGGATCATTATCAAGAGTATGGATACAAGAATATTACGAGTTACTGCCCAGGATACAATCAACCCGATATTCTGACTAACCCAGAAAAATATGGTTGTACGGAATTAGACACCTACTTTTGGTATAATTCGGGACACTTGACGAGCCGGACGCATGAAATTATGACGGACGTATTAAGGGAGTGGATATTGAAGCAATAGACCATGGGTGTTCTGTAGCAACGAGAAGTTGGTCCATTCTAAGAGCCCATAGCACTTATGTATCATTGATGTTCTAATAAGCTCAAGCAAGGGTACGGAGTCACAGGCAACCTGTACGATTATTTAGAGCACCTTTGGCGATATTCATTGCCAAAAAATTAGTTCATATTGGTGTGCACCCGTCGCTTTCGAGATTTTGCTCTTGACTACAGTGCCCAAACTCTCTGACCACCCCTACTGTCACTTCTCTCAAGCCGGTTCATCCTCCCGTACCACAGCCTGAGCACTGTCGCAATACCTGCAACCAGAAAGCTACAGCCCGCACACACAAAATTTCCTGTGGGATACCCACTGTTCTTTTCACTGTTCTTCCAGATCCACTGCGCGATGATCTGTCCAATGCCTGCACAAGAATTATGCAAAGCGATAGCCAAGGGCAAAGTAAGGAAGCTGGGCGAATTGCAGGTAACCCAGTTTGTCATTGAAGGTGCAGCTGGGAACGCTCCAGCAGCAGCCATACATAGACACCCGTAGCGTTGAACATAGGCGTCTGCGGGAAGAAGACCAGCAGTAAGCCATCCTGTGCCACCGACCAGCGATGCAATAGTGATATGCCAGCCACGAGCATTGAAGCGATCGGCCGAGTAGGATATAGCAATTGCGACGAAGAATCCCACAACCCATGGTGGGACGGTCAAGAGCTGCGCGTGTATAGACTGGTAACCTAGGCCTGTAACGATGGTAGGTGTAAAGAAGGTGAAACTCCCCTGGGGTACTACATCCGCTACGTACGCAACGTAATGCAGCAACATTCTCGGGCTGAAGCACGTATCCAGAATCTCTTTTCTACTGGCATGCTCCTGGTTGTAACCGCCTCCTCGCTCGGCCAGACGGTCGATAGCGAATTTCTTCTCTGCAGCACTCAAAAAGGATGCCCGAGCTGGGTAGTCTGGTAAAAAGAACCAGACAAGGAAAGCAGAAAGCAAGGTTATGATCCCTTCGATGATGAAAAGCCACCGGAACCCTTCTAGACCTGCGGCTCCATTGATGTGGCCGACACCGTAGGCAATGGCGCCGCCGAAGGCACCTGCGAGGTTGCAAAAGGCGATTACAAGGGCGATGCGGACCGCGCGTTCATTGTATCGGTACCATATTGTTATGAAGTATACAATTCCTGATGTCATGTAATCAGTTGTACAATTCTCAGTTTGCGAGTGACTAGAGTACTGTACCTGGAAAGAAACCTGCTTCGAAAGCTCCAATGAGGAATCTCAGTGCGATGATAGTAGCGGGATTCTGTACGCCGGCGAAACCAATGGTAAGAGCGCCCCAGGAGAACAGAAGGATACCGAGCCATCTGGAAGGCCTGATGTAATGTTTCATAACAAAGTTACTTGGAATTTCGAAGATAGCATATGCAACGGAGAAGAGTGTCACTGTTAGAGCGTAGCCGCGCGGTGTCAGGCCTGTGTTGCTGAGCATATCGCCTCCTGTTTCTTCGTTGAGTACACGGGCGTTGCCGATGTTGCCTACAATTGTTTAGCATGTAACCCGGATACATGATATGGCGGTTTTGGGGGGTATAGCTTACCTCGATCAAGAAAATTTAGAAGATAGACCCAACAGCACAACGGTAGCACCCGTAAGTCAAGACGCCGATTGAGCTTCTTGTTGTGCTTCTGGTCGTGAAGCTCAATTTCTCCATGCTCCTGCAATGTCTCATCTTGACGTTTAGTAACATCAAAATCGACGTCTTCAAGATGTTTCGTTGAATCTTTTTCTGGCACCATCTTGACAGGTTCCTTAGCAAGATGCTATGCTGTTGAGAACGTGGTTTAGGGTTCAAGAGACTCTATTATACTGGCTGCGATATCTGAGTCCGGGAGAAACCAGGCTATGGCCATTTTATGGCAGTATCGAGATACCATACAGCAGTGCTTACCATTCTCGGGTATGCTAACGGCTCTACCCCAGATGCGCGGGGTAATATCCACATCACACAGCTGTGCGGCGCTCATTTAAGTGATGATCTACGATACTCGAAACTAATCACAGACAGTGTCGGCGTTATCGCCGAGAAAAGAGGAGTTTTGGGGTACGGTATCAATTGTGTTACCGAAGGGATTAATAGTTGCGTCATGCATGCAGAGCAACTACAAGCGGGGGCGTCCGACTTCTACTCCCAACAGCGACTACGTAAACATAGCCTTGATATCTGTAATTGTAACGCTCAATGGAATGTAGATGTTCTACTCATACAAGTAGTCTAAAGATACACTAAACTTCGCAAGTGCGTCCAGTTAAGCGGATGTTAGAAGTGATTTTTTGATGTTTTGAAATCACCGTTCTTTCACATACGACCATAGGCGAAGTATCAGACTGGATCCCGTCCGATTTCCACACGTCAATCCTTCGACCGGTGGGCTAGTAGTCAGGTGGGTGACCACTGGCGAATCCCCGCTGTCGTATGTTTTTGTAGATTTTTTGGTGTTTTTTTTTTAGTAAAAGCAAATTTCAAGGTACAGACTCCAGCACGGCATGTTGAGAGATCTTTTTTGACGTTTAGGTAGCATTTGATAGTTCAAAAATTGCTTGAAATATGTAGTAACATCAACATGCAGACATTTATGTCCAGGCTAAACTCTTTCATTTTGGATTCTTTGAACATGAGCCGTAGAGAGCTCGCACGCCACTAAGCTAGAGCAAGAGCTCCAAAAAAAATATATCTAGAAAGCATTGAGTGCATTCATCGCTATTACTGCGCCGTTAGATTAATTGAGGTTTTGCACCAGATGTTTAAAACCTGAATAGCACGATGATGAGTTTGCCGAGATTAACCGCCATGGCTAACAATAGGCCCTCACTCCCTCACAAACTTTCCGAAGATATGGAGACTATCTGTAGTCCTCCACTTCCCTGCAAGCCAAAGCCCTTCCCCGTCCCAAACGTGCACACCCAGCTCTTGCATGCCGCATTTTGCCAAGACACGTAGACTAGCTGGATTTTCATCATTGACAATTGCTCTGATGAAGATTTTCCGGTAGTCGTCCCAAAATTGCTGTTCACGCTGGCAAACCTCAAGTAATGCCGTTACTGACTCAGTAGCGAAGCCTTTGCCCCATGCGGCTGGCAAGAACTGATAGCCAAGTTCCATTGTCAAACAATCGGGCGAAGAGATAGATTTCGGGAACATGTGGGCTGGTAGAGCGAGAGTATCCGGCCCGAGGGAACGTAGAGTCATGAGCCCGATGAGGCGAGTTGGGGTTTCCTCGTTCGTTGTAGCATTGCTGTTGGGGACGAGCAACTCATGAACAGCGTAGACGACACGATATGACTTTGCGTCGCCCACGCCTGCTATTTTCGGCAAAGCTCCTTTCATAACCTTTTCGGTATCTTCGATGGTCTTTGACCGACCATAAATGCTGTGAGTAGTTAGCATTGGTTTTTCTAAATGCTGGTTGCTGCTATGTGAGGCAAAAGAAGGTCCCATCGACCGAGAGGAGGAGTAACTACTAACTACTAACCTCCACCATGTAGCCTTCTCGTCACTGCGTAGTTCGTGTAGCCACTCAAGTTCTTGACTGCCCCTCTCTGCTGTGGTGATGAGCGTCAACTTCAGGTGTGGCGTGAATACTGTTTTATCCATGATTGCCGGGTAGCTTGAAAATAGAATGAATCACATTTGATATCTAGTAACACAAGACTTTATATAAAGGACGCCAGGCAGACATGTCGGAATAAATTGGTAGGTTTCTCTGCCCAATCGGCGTTCGTAAAACTCGGTAAGCGTTGGAAACAGTAAAGCGCCCTCGACATTTGGGTTAGTCGTTCCGAAGAACTAAGGTTATCGGTATAGATGAATAACGAACGTATGCAAATTCCAGAACTTCACAGCCGTGTTATCGGCAAAGCACGGCTCGCTTCATCAGATGAATCCTTACGGATATCCTTACTGTTTAAGGAGCGTAGCCATTTAGATCAATCAGAACTACTTCTCTTTCATCCAGCATGAAGCTTCCAAATATTCTGACCTTTTCTGGTGACGAGGCAGAGACGAATGCGATGTCGCAGATTCAACACTGCTACCGCTGTCAACCTCGTTCAAACTGCCAATCTGTGGTGTTTCTCACTGCTTCTGGTACCTGCACTTCTGATCATTCGAACAGCCCAGCGGTCCATACAAATACAAGACATAGAAGAATCATTTTATGAGTGTAAAACTATCCAGTGCGAACAGACATCGCGCTGAAGCTATGTGTAGGTGATGTGACTGTCGAGGGGTACGCGATACTCACTAGTGCAGTCGAGTCTTGGCATTCCCGAATCCCCGACGAACTTTTGGCTCCATCGCAGCCACCATCGATGTCTGCAAAGCCCCAATGGCACACCCACGATCGTTAATAGCTCCTTTGAGCCGGCTTACTGCCTCTTCAATTGCAGTTGCGAGACCCGAAGTCCCGCGCATTGCCTCGTTACCATACCAAACGATACGATGCGCAACCACAAAAGCACAGCCTAAGAAAAAGAAGAAGGCGCGGAACACCTTCATACAATATGACTTGAAGAAGGCAGAGCAGTTTTCGCTGATTGATGCGATGCAGTGAGTCACCCACTGGGTATTTTTAGGGCTACGTCAAGAGTCAGGGCTAATTGATGACTAGATATATCCGCGCCTTCGAAGTAGGCCGTAATCCCTCCTCCTCAAAGTATGAGATGCATGTTCGTCTGAAGACTCTAAAAAATGGCCCCGTCGTACGGAATCGCCTACGACTCCCGCACCCCGTCAAGACCGACATAAGGATTTGCGTCATCGCTGCACCGGACTCAAAGGCTGCTGCTGAAGCTCTCGCTGCAGGTGCTACACTTGTTGGTGAGGACGATGTCTTCAATCAGATCAAGGAGGGTGTTGTCGAATTCGACAGGTGTATATGCCACATCGACAGTCTGCAAAAGATGAACAAGGCGGGACTCGGACGAGTGCTTGGTCCCAAGGGCCTGATGCCCAGCACAAAAACCGGCACGGTGGTCACATCAGTGGGAACCAGTGTGAGGAACATGGTGGGCGGAAGTGAATACAGAGAGCGTCTAGGCGTGATCCGCATGGCGGTGGGACAGCTTGCATTCACTCCTGAGGAGATGCAGAGGAATATCAAGGCGTTCATGGATGCGCTGAAGAAGGACATAGCACAGCTCAGCGATCGTATCGGCAAGGAGATTCACGAGGTGGTGCTTAGCTCGACCAATGCGCCGGGCTTCACTTTGAGCGGAGAGTTCAGAGGACCCAACTCGATAGCGCCGAAGGAGCTGAGTGGGCCTTTGTAAATCAATAGCCTGTGGGATGGATGTATGAACAATGTACCATACCGAACGCCGTCGCTATGCTGGTGTCAAAGTTTGCCATTTATGATGACTTTAATGTTTTGAGCACCTTGACTGCTTCTGCAGACTCCTCCATGTCTCCGTAAATTCTCATAATCTTCATAACTCGCCCTGATCCAGCTGCACCAGCTTTCTTCGCCTGTTGTAGAGCAGTACTTAGGTCCATCAACAAAGTCGTCCGCACTTTTGTTTTCCTAGTATTCTGCGCTGCGACAAATGGATGCTCACCCAATTCTTTTTCTAGCCCCAGAACCAATCGATACTGCACTACATTCCGCCTCAGCTTCGCGACGGAAACACTGTAGCCTTGTTCTTCGTCATCCTCCTCTTCATCCTCTTCACTATCCGAGACCTCTTCCGCGGTTGTGGTAGTTTCCTGGCCCGGTGCCTCAATCATGAGCTCAGCCTCCAACTCCTTGAGCCGGGCATCGTAGTCTATGAGGCGCCTTCCGACTTCGATTTTGCGCCTGACGTCGCGCTTCTCTTCCAGCAGCTCCCGTACTTGTTCCTCCCTCGAGCCCACCAAACCCAACAAGCCGTCGAGCTCTTTTCTGAATCCCAGCAAGCCCACTCGGACCTCTTCTACTTTCTCCTCCCCGCCATGTAAACTATTTCCTAGGTTCAGGAAATCCTGGTAGTTGGAATTGACGAGGTCGAGAAGCTCTTTAGAGAGGAGCTGGGATCGCGCGCGCAGTTCTGAGCGGAGGTCCTCGAGTGTTTGGTGCCGATTATGCAGGGTAGAGAGATAGCTTGCGGGAGAGAAATCGGGTGTGAGGAAATCTGAGCGGCGCAGTGGAGTCGCAAAAGGTAGGGTGGAGATGTTGTCGTCGTCAGAATCCTCGCTGGAGCCGGAGCGCGAGTCGTCGCCGAGCTATGACAGCGTGTTAGTCGCAAAAGCTTAGACCTTGGTATTCATTGTAGGATACGTTCACATACGTGGAATTGACTCATGGCTGCTGTGTGGGTTCCATTTACGCGCTCGTGGGGTGCTGGTGTTGCCAGAAGTCCAGATAAACTAATCGATAAGCTTCGGAACCTGGACCGAGGTGTCGGAACAGGGTGCAGATGGTTGGTAATGCAATGCCGATTAGCGGCACCTCTACGTGGGGCAAAAGCACGTAAAGTGCATACGTCAGGTACTGGTTTCTTTTCCTTTGACTTCGTGATCGTGATTCTCAATACCTCTGTTCATTCCTGTTAGTTGATTGAAAGATTCCGGCTGTGTATACACTGGCTGCCCCGACGCCGATAAGAGTACCAGAGTATTGCGAATAGTTCTAGTACAATGCCACCGCAGCCAGACCTCCCTGAGCCAGCGCACCCAGAAGTCGATTCGATGCTAAGCCGCAAGTTTGGAAAGGAAGTAGCCAATTACTTCTCTGGTACAGCACTACATACTCGTCCTATCTGGCCCATGGAACCCTTATCGCTAACAAAGAAATGCAGGGTCCCCGTTGAACCGCGTGGGCTTCCTCCGTCCCGACCACCAATTCATCTCCTCTGCGCTACACCACCCTTCGACTACGTTCCTTCTCTTCAACAAGCTCGAACCCCTTGTTAAGTCTGGCACTGAGCTTGCGCGATGTACCTTTGCGGATGTGAAGCCCGTCATTGGCGAGAACCCGTTTGAGAAGTCCGAGGATGAAGTCATCGCCCAGTACAACTCGTCATTGTATGTACCGCAGATAATATTCTTGGGTCTTGATGAGAGAAAGGAGGGATTCAAATACAAGGATCACTACAAAGGCCAGCCCTGGTTTGCAGTAGATGTCACGCCGCAAGAAAGCGTCAAGGAGAAGGCTGAGGAGTTGATCGAAAAGATGAAAGCACAAGGATTGGACTTCAGCAAGGGGAGGATGCATTTGAGTTTGCCAGCCGAAGAAGGTATGCAGATACTGTTTCCCAACGTACGCAACGACCTAGCAGCTAACGTGCACCAGCGGCCATCTATGCCGAGGCCCGTCACCTACTCGACTGGAACGCGCGAAACCCCTTCTGCGCCTCGTGCGGATACAAGACGCTTTCTGTAAACGCTGGCTTCAAGCGTACCTGCCCACCAAAAGACATTGCGTCCAGTGTCAACCAAGGCG